CAGTTTTGGGGACGGGGAGATTGAAGCGGGTGGGCGACAAATGAACCCCCCCCCCCCCCCCCCCCCCCCCCGGCTTTCAATTGACCCCCCATGCAATTACACTGAGTCAATTGATCACAGTATAATAACATGGGGGTTAATTGTCGTACTAAGCCCTAGATTGTACCTGCTAATGAGGTGAATATCCCTTCACAGGTAGGACTGTATAATGGGGGCCCTGATGTTATAGTGGACATCACTTTCCCCTCCCTTATCTGATTAAAGAATACAAAACAGTCATGAAATGAGATTGGTTAAAACCTACCTTGGGAAAGCTCCGATGGACTAGCCCGTGGAGAAATAAACACACTTAACTTCAGCTCAATTGAGCAATAACTGCCTATTTATTGCTTATAACTTCATTTATTTTGGATGTAGATTGGGCTTCGTTGTGAGATACTATACCTGAGTGATTACTCCGAACTTTCTAAAAAGCTACAAAGTTAACTTTCTGAAAAGCTACAAAGTTAACTTTCCTACTGTACTGGATTACTCGTCAATTCAGGTATAGGAGTATGTATTAGAACGGTCCTGAAACTATGAAAAGAGGGAATTAGCGGTTTTGGGGACGGGAAGATTACAGCATCAAAAACGGGTAGGATGTAGGAGCCTAGGAGGGTAATTATAATAATAAAGGTACTGGGGGATTGAACAACTTACTTACTTTCGGCGATCCTCGATCGAACTCCCATTCACTGTCTGCCTCCACACGTCTTGATCGCACATAACAGTTCGAAGGTCGTCAAACTGGAGCCCAGTGTCACGAGCTGCTACGTCCAGGAAGGTGAGTGGTCTCCTTCCACAGTTCCACGGCCGGACTGGGTAAGTCGCCAGGAGAGGATAGAGGAGATAACTTGGTCAGAAGCTCTCATGCAGTGCCCAGCAAATCTGTTACGCCTTGACGCAAGCCTAGGGCTTAGTACGACAATTGACCCCCGACAATTAACCCCCATGTTATTATACTGAGATCAATTGACTCAGTGTAATTGCATGGGGGGTCAATTGAAAGCCGGGGGGGGGGGGGTTCATTTGTCGCCCACCCGCTTCAATCTCCCCGTCCCCAAAACTGCTTCCCTCTTTTCAGATTTTCAAGACCATTCTCACACATTCTCATATACCTGGATTGACGAGTCAACCAGTACAGTAGGGAGTAAAACGAAAGATTAGTTGTCGTTTTAGCTTATTAGAAAGTAAACTTTGTAATAATAAATTAGTTACGAAGCACACTGTACATCCAAAATAAATGAAGTAATAAGCGATAAATAGTTATTGCTCAATTGAGGTGAAGTTAAGTGCGTTTATTTCTCCACAGGCAGGTTGAAATGAAATGAAATGAAATAATGTGCTTGTATACCGCCCATATGGTTAGCAACTGACACAAGTGCCAGGTACTAACCATGTCAGAGCGGTTCATCAGAGCTTTCCAAAGGTAGGTGTTAACCAGCCATCTCATTTCTGGAATTTTTTGTAGCTTTTAATCAGATTAACTTCCCAGTTCCATAGCGGATATTATGCCAAATTATTAGACGGAGGTCCATTTCTACGGTGATGATTCTCCGGCTCCGTCTACTGTATTATACAGTTATACGGAGATGAAGCTCTCCGGGAATTTCTCGGAGATTGTAGCAGTTTGTGGCAGTTTCTTTGCACTTTGCTCTGTGAGAATCAACAAAATTACCGTAGATGGTCTCCGGATAAGGTTATGGAACTGCAAACCGGAGAAATATCCGAAGAAATATTAGTTGACGATCTCCGTCCAATAATTTGGCATAATATCCGCTATGGAACTGGGGGTAAAAAGGGGTAAATATATAATTACATCAAAAATTTCATGAATACATCACCCGAGTAGCTTGGCGGCTAGGCGATCGGTTAGCTCTGCGCGAGGTCGGGAGTTCAAACCTGCGTGAACACCGAGTAAACTTTTACCCAGCACAATTTTTTTTTTCATGATAAATAGGAAATAAACCTTTGAACCTAGCGAGCCAGTAGCTTGAGCAAATAATTCAGATAGTAGCAAAAACTTAAGTAGTCCCAGTGCTCAGGTTTGAGGACATTGAAGAATAATCTGAAAATATTGCCGAAATCCACGACTATTTGCCGAAATCCACGGCAATCCGCAAAAGCACTTGCAAGTTACAAAAAAGCTAGGCTTTGACTAGATAACCGACTCTAGTACTCAAAACTGAAATGGGCCTGGCTAGGTAACTCGAGCAGCGGTAATTTGACGATGAATTTTAGCAAGCTAGTCAATAACTCAATAAGTAGATTTCTCGGAGATTGTAGCAGTTTGCGGCAGTTTCTTTGCACTTTGCTCTGTGAGAATCAACAAAATTACCGTAGATGGTCTCCGGATAAGGTTATGGAACTGCAAACCGGAGAAATATCCGAAGAAATATTAGTTGACGATCTCCGTCCAATAATTTGGCATAATATCCGCTATGGAACTGGGGGTAAGAAGGGGTAAGGGGGGGGGGGGGGGGAAGAGATGATGTCCGCTATAATAAAACAAAAGTTACCTGTAAAGATATGATCTGGGATACTCACTTCATTAGCAGGCACATAGAGGTTTCAGACAAATTCTATTGACTTATTGACATTCCTACTATACCTAGTAATATTGTTTTTATTATATTCTTTGCAAGAAATTAAAAGATGTAATATCCATGTATATTCTTGTGGCTATTGTATAAATTGTATCTAAAAATTTTTCGCTGTCTCAGGTTTTCTTAAATTTTGTCTCAGGATTTTTCGCTGTCTCAGGTTTTCTTAAATTTTGTCTCAGGATTTTTCGCGCGTCTCAGGATTCTTAAATTTTGTCTCAGGTTTTTTTGCTGTCTCGGGATTTCTTAAATTTTGTCTCAGGTTTTTTCGCTGTCTCGGGATTTCTTAAATTTTGTCTCAGGATTTTTCGCTGTCTCAGGATTTCTTAAATTTTGTCTTAGGATTATTCTGCTGTCTTAGGATTATTCTGCTGTCTTAACTTTTGCACCTGTGTCTCAGGAATTTTTGCAAATCTAATCCTAAGATCCGAGGCTGGGGGAGGCCTGCATAGGTTTCTGCAAACAAGGTGCTTCTTACAATTCGCTTTAACTTCTTTGAGCACCATATCAAAGGAGTGGCAAACTGGCTATCATCCGACTTAATGAATACTACATATCCACCCTGTGAAGCTCCATTGTAGAGGTTTTTGTGTGCGGCATCACTAAAGAGGATAAACTTCAGATTTTTCAGATTCCCAAGTGAGTGATGTTTGATACAGACATGCTTTCTCTTTAGCCTTTCTATGACCTGATTACAGTCATGAAAGTCCTTCACAGTGACATCTTTGATACCTGTGCTGGTGACACAAACCTGAAAAGACACATCAGGCCTAGAGTGGTTGGATACCTAAAGGATCTGGCCCAGCTTAGACTTAAGAGTATTCTTCTCATCACTGGAGAGGTCCCTGGTTTTAAGGGCGCCACCTGGTATATCAATGGGACAAAGCTTTTCAATATACTTCTTCTGATCCATCTCAATATAGTCAGCCTTTTGACGAATTTCTAGCCCAAGGTAAGTAAAAGCAGATTTTTCTTCAATCTTTATGAGGAATTCAGATTTTACTTTTGTCATTACTTCTTCAAGAAACTTCGCTGATCCAGCAAACATGAAATCGTTGACATGCAAGGCAAGAACCCCTTCAAGGTCTCCATCCTTTCTCCAGTAAAACACAGCAGGGTCTTTCGATTTCACACCATCAAGATCAATTAAACAATCAGCAACTCGCTGATACCACTTAAGACTGGCGTCCACTAGCCCATAGACACACTTTTTTAACTTCCATATTACTTCTGGGGTAACTTTTGCTTCTTTAGGAGGTTTCATGTATACAGGTCTCATCATGTCGTTCCCTTGCAAGAAAGCAGACTTAATGTCTAATGCTTGTACAATCCAATTCTTTCCGGCAATGATGGCAAGAAGCAAACGAAGACTCTCTTTGCAACAAGTAGGGGAATCACTTAGGATGGACGATGTATCCTCAAGAAATCCCCGAGCAACTAGTCTAGCCTTTTTGGTATCGCCATTCTGTTTACATACCCAAGTACTTGTGATAATTTTTCTAGCATCTAGCTCTTCTATCTGAACTTCTTCATACACCTTGTTAGTTACCCACGAACTCAGTTCTAACTGCTTTTCAGTTGCATAGTCATCCAATTGAACAGCATAGACATCTTCAATTGGGTCGAAATCAAAATCATCACCTTCATCTTTGTTCAGTACAGTGAAGTCATCAATGGTAGATACATCTATAGGTATGACTTCATCTGTCTCTTTAACATGAACATTGTACCAGTTCTTATGTTTACCATTAGCCCTCCCTCCTCTTGACAATACAACAGCCTCATACTGTGTCCCATCATCAACAAAGATTATTGTTGAGCCTCTCTTAATGGCAGTTGGCTTGTCAATTCTTTGATCCTGCTTAGTACTGACTGTGTTGTTATCTAACTCAGCAATTTCAGGCAAACTTGGAGGTGACTCAGCTTCGATTTCAGCTGGATAATTAACTTCAGCTACAGGGTTTGTAGAAGGCTCTACTTCAACTTCTTGGACTGGAACATCATCACTAGAACAGTCAAGACCTGGTATTCTAAGTACACTTGCCTCTTTGATAGACTCAACATCCTGAATTGGACCATTTGTACTATCAGATTTAGATTCATAGGGAACCTGGTCCTTCACAAGAGAGATCCTGCTCTGATGTACTCTTGTTACAAAGCTTCCTTGACGAAGAAATACCACTGTACTATCTTGTCCTATTACCGTTGCAGGGCCCTTCCACTTGTCTGATCCCACAGCTTTGTAGTAAACTTTACTTCCAAAGGTTATGGGTGTTGTGTAAGTTCTCAGTGGCTTCTTCAAAGCCTTCATTATCCTATTGGAGCTTTCACAGCTTAGAAACATCCTTCTAGAAGCATTCATTGACTAGCGACTACTTTACTTGATGTTTCATTCTCAAGAGCAGGTGGACTTGAGTTGAGGACATTGGGCAGGTATGTTTGTGTCCCAAACATGAGCTGATTGGGTGAGAAACCCGCAACAGTACTGAGTGAGTTCTTTGCACTACACGCCCAGCTGAGTATGGTATCAACATTAGTATTTGGAAATTCTTCAGCCAGTTTCAGCATCATCAAGGAAATTACAGCATTATGCCGCTCAACTATTCCATTTGAGAAAGGACTATAGGCAGCAGAAGTCTTATGCTCAATGTTGAAATTCTGTGTCCAATCTTCAAACTCTTTGGAACAAAACTCTCCACCATTATCAGAGAATATCAATGAAGGGCACCCAAAGACGGATATCCATTTCTGACTGAGAACATCAATAATCTCACTAGTCTTCTTGGACCTGACAATCCCAGCCTGACTAAACCGAGAGAATTCATCAATGATGTGCAGGTAGTACAAATTATTATCCAGCTTGTGCAGATCAATGGCAACTGATTCATTTATTCCTCGAGCTCTTGGAAATGATGTGCATGGTTTAGCAGGAGCCTTCTTGTAAACTTGACAGATCTCACAAGTTTCAATGACCTCTTGTAGAACTCTAAACAAATCTACATCTCCCAAACCAGCATCACTAAGTAGTCGCCTGAGCTTGTCATATGAACCATGTCCCAGCTGACAATGAAGCTTTTTCACCGAAGCTTTGTCCAATTTCTTTTCGACAAACTGACAGACATTAACGGTAGCTGCTTCTTCTAAGTGGTCTTCAAATGTATCATCAATCTCAATGTGAGGCAACATATCAATCATTATTAGCCCAGTAGAGGTGAAAGAAGTGGGAATGTCCTTCCCAAACATACTAACACGGTTGTTGACCATATCAATGACAGTCTCAGTATTCTGCATAGTCTCTTGACTAATTAAAAGAGGTATATCATCATTTACCACATCACATTTTAGATCAAACAACTCACCATCAAGATTCATTGGCAGAAGAACCTGTTTTGTTGCTCTGATAGGGTCACCATCACCAAACCTATACACAGACAAAGAAGGAGAGGTTTCGAGAACAACTTTGGACTTTTTCACAAAATCCTTCAACCATAATTCACCACACACTGTTTTGGTACAACCAGTATCCAAAATAGCATTACCAAATGATTCAGCAAGGTAAATAGCTTGGGGTGAGGAATACTCTTTGGTGAAATATTGAAGTTTCACCTTCTCTGTAACTTTCTCCAGATTAGGTTCACTTTCCAGCTCTCCTTGGACTGAGCGTGTAAAGAAGGATGGTGTACTTTTGCGTGGGCATTCTCGCACCAAATGATACTTTGAATCACATATCAAACACAACGTTATGTTCCCATACTTGTCCTTTCGATTTATGTACTTGTTCTTGCCCTGATGTTGCTGCTGATTACCGTTCGGGTAATACTGTTGATTATTATTTGAGCTGAATTTGTTCCCTGATCTGTAGTTTTGGTAGTTCTTTTGTCCTTGTCTGGCATAGAACGACTCTTGTGTCTCCTGCTTAATTTTGATATCATTTGATCCACATGTGCTGGTTTTTCCACCCAAGATACGTTTGATGACAGACTGCATTGAGTCATATTTAATATCAGTGCAAGCAGTCATGATCATTTTCTGTTCATCAGCACTCAGATCCATGGACCTCATCAATTTGAAAGCAAGCACATTATCAGGATAAGTAATGTCAATAGCTTTAGCTTGTTTCATAGCACGGTCAAAACGAATCATGAAGTCTGCGACTTCTTCATCTTGATTTCTTCTTATATCTTCAAAAATAACATACCTTTCATAGGCCATATCATTTTTGTCTTTCTCAAACACCTTGTCTAGATGTGTGATTAAAAGTTCCAAACCATTATCTTTGACCATATCTTCTAGAGACATTTCAATTGCAACAGTTTTGTAGTCTCCACCCAATACCCCAATAACCGTAGGAGCTTGTTTCTTTACCGCGACATCTGTCCCTAACTCCCAGATTTTTATCTCCTTTTTCCATGCTCCATAATCCTCACCAATCCTAGGAGGGCTTTGCTTTGACATTTTCACACTTCCTGCAACCACTGTTAACCTTGTGTGTTGGTACCAGTAACTACACCGTTGTTATATGAAAGGTAGTAATGAATCGTATCTAGTCATACAGTAGTCAAAAGTCATTCTCTCGTCTCAGGGTAAAGGTGACAAGAATACCTGGGCCCCTTTGGCAAACTTTCTGAACTCAGGCAGCTTGAACGACTAAATTTAATAACAATAAAACTTCTTGTCTGAATGAACTATTAGAACCTCAAGAAGCTGATCCGCATGTCTCCGCTACTAAAATGTTTAATGAGCCCAATCACTCATCACTTAACAGTTTAATCTTCAAAGTGAGTTGTACAATCTAGGTTGTTTTAAGTAGCTGTTGATAGTGTAAAACAGGAGTGACTTGATCGTTTTCATAACTTCGATTTACAATTTGTACCATAATAAAACTAGCACTGCCATGGGGTTCAAAAAGGGTCATTGTAAGCCTCCAGCGTAATGGTCCTAAGTCTCTGCCCCATGCAGTGCCTGTCAGCATCAGCTAACAGAATAGCCCTAACATAACGATCAAGCCACAAATTAGGTTCTATAATGATTTAATATTGTTGAATAAAGAGATTTGAATATAATATTTGTTTTATTCTGAAATATTTGTTTTATTCTGAGTATCAAGTCATACGCTTATATACAGCAAAGCCCTGGGAAATACATAGTTAATGATATAAAGCAACTTAACATCGGATTAGTCGTTTGGTTGATGTTGTTGTCGAGACTGGGAGTGGGAGTCAAAGTTGGGCCCTGGCTGGCCACCATGGCCATCAGGGCAAATGTTGTAACTAGGGTTGACGTGGCTTGCGATTAGATAAGCTTGACGATTAAAAATCAAACCAAAGCAAAACGATTATAGTAAAAACTATTGACGACACATTGACTGAATGTTATTCTAATTTATATTCTAGATATTTTATTTATTTTTCAACAGACGACAACTTCCTGTTTTTTCTTCTATATTAGTTACCTACTCATATCTCTTTTACAGACTTTTTTACAAGGACATTGACAGATGATACTCACATTAGGCATTCATTATTGCATCTAAATTATTTCACTTGCATTAGGTTTAGAAATTTATTCTCTGGTTAACAGATTTCAAATGTTTAATTAATTTGTAGTATGACAGTAAGGTATATAAGAAGTTATTTAATTTTGCTTGGGCTATTATATTGACTATTGAGGTTTAATGATGATATGGAATTTGAATTCTATATAAATTTACACTATGTGGTTGGGGCATTTTGCATAGTAAATATGGTTACTACTCCTATATATCATATTATTTGATTGGTATTCGATTTCTGATTATTTCTCTAGGAATATGATTATTATATCTCAATTTGGCTTTAGGTAGGGTGCCCCGCTAAAAGAACTGGATTCTTCCAGGAAGCACCCCGTGCACAGACCTTGGTCTACATATATATTAAATTATTAACCATTCATTCTGTATGTGCACGAAAATTTATTTCAAAAAAAAAACTTTCCGATATGTACATTGATATGAGTTAAAAGTTGTATAAACAAGAGACAGGGCTTGCGGAGCAAGGGAAGAGATATAGGAGGGCCAGGCAAAAAGTATATGTTTCTGTTTCATTGAACGCTTCTTGAAAGTTGTTACAGTTCATTCTCAAGCTTATCAAAAGTATGGGCCTTGTACAACCCTTTCAGCTAAACTCAAAATTTTACCAAATCAATGACTTTTTGCTCATTGTGGGCACAGTTTGAATATTCCGACCAAAATCCAAATAATCTTTGAATAATTCTGAGACATATTCTGAATTTTTAACAGAAAAGTTGCAAAATTCAGGTTTTTATGGGCTTTTTAAACATTATAGTCCACTAGCAGGAACCCGTATATAACTCTAAAATTGTGTCAAAACTCAAGAGACTAAAATTATTATTACGGTACCTATTTAATTCGCGTTTTTGACACCAGTCAGGGTTCTGATTTGGAGGCCAATAAAGCATTTGACCCAGTCAAAAAAGTTTTGGTTGTATATCTTTTATGGTTTTTGCAGAAAGTCGCGTTAAATTTGATGCCGTGGGGTCAGAGAGATGTGGAGTGTGCAGCCGTGTATAGAATCCTCGTTTATGTTGGGTGTGGTTGATAGTGTCTCATCATGTGGAATGAGTACTGACTATTTCTGCACTCCGGCTCTAAGGCAATAAGGTGTTTTGGAGTCTTTGCTGGGATAGCGGGGTCCCCTGTGTAAACGAGCATTCCTGACCAAATCAAGTAATTCACAAAGTTTTTATTTAAATTTTATTAAAAGAAGTATAGAACTGTATGCCTCTATTATTCTTAACACTACCATGGTTAACCTGTTGTCCTTTTATTCTAAAATGGTTCTATACTTCTTCAAATTGTTTACTTGTAATTATGATAAATGTACATAATTCTGCCGAAATGTCGAAGTGGGTATCTACGGAATAATGTATGTATGTAATTTTCATAATAAGCAGTCTACAGTGTCGTTACAGGAACGTTGCATACTCCTACGATTTGCACGTAGCAGGCCATGACCTCCTCTTGAATTCCCTGTCTCTCCGTCGTTAACCCGGCGGGGTTGCACCACCTCAAGACTCTCGGAGTCTGTTGTCGATATCTATGTTTAATTTATTTATGGTATATAATTTGGGAGTCTCTCTCTCCGGCAGCAGGAGTTGGAGAATTGGGACGCGTTGCGAAAGCCACCGTAAAGAAGGCTTACTGTCGACGCCGACCAATCAAAAGAAAAGAAAGAAGCTCAAAGAATATTGAAAGTTACCAACATGGCGCATGTGGAAGGGGCCTGGAAGTTGTGTCCCACTTGACTTGGCCGTACAACTTCCGACCTCCACTCCCTGAAAAATTACCTAAGAGGAGGTAAATGGTCAACAAATATCGATGTAAGAGCTTGGTGTGCTCAAATCCTGACCTCCTTTTACAACATAGGGGGACTCTTGCATCGCAGGTTAAAAGATTCCGAGGGGGAACCATTAGTTTTGGCAGGTTGCATATTTTTTATTTTAAAAAGTTGATTCCCTGCCGATTATTGATTCTTGCGAAAATATCAAGACTTGCAGTTACAGTACACTACATATTATTCGGTACTGAGGGAGACATTTCTTCATATTTAGACCGCAATCACAGGAATAAAACTCATCTGCCTGCCTTGGTCGATAAAATCTGGAACAAGTTTCGTGACAGCGCTTCTCTCCATTTATCTCTCACTCATGAGCCAACGTAACTTATCAGGATCCAATCCAGTATCTTCTTGTTGGACGTCCAGAAAGGTCTTATGTGGTCGTCCTGTATACCGATGGCCATAGGATGGTTGCCAGAAAAGGAAAAATAACTGGTGCCTAAACCTTTGCAAACTGAATTTTGGGCCCCTGTACTGTCCCTGTACAATCTATTTTACAGATCTACATTATTTTATTTCAGAATTATATCATGCTAGTACTTATTAATAAAAAAGTTTAAAATTATTTTGTTACCTAACCAAATCTCCTCTATTGAAGAATGTAAAGTATGATGAATAAAACTCAGATTAAAGAGCGGATTAGGGATTTGAAAGATCAGTATCCTCTCCATGTTACTATCTTTGAGAATGACCCTCAGGTAATATACTCTCCATGTTATTATCTTTGAGAATGACCCTCAGGTAATATCCTCTCCATGTTATCATCTTTGAGAATGACCCTCAGGTAATATCCTCTCCATGTTATCATCTTTGAGAATGACCCTCAGGTAATATACTCTCCATGTTATCATCTTTGAGAATGACCCTCAGGTAATATACTCTCCATGTTACTATCTTTGAGAATGACCCTCAGGTAATATACTCTCCATGTTATCATCTTTGAGAATGACCCTCAGGTAATATCCTCTCCATGTTATCATCTTTGAGAATGACCCTCAGGTAATATCCTCTCCATGTTATCATCTTTGAGAATGACCCTCAGGTAATATACTCTCCATGTTATCATCTTTGAGAATGACCCTCAGGTAATATCCTCTCCATGTTATTATCTTTGAGAATGACCCTCAGGTAATATCCTCTCCATGTTACTATCTTTGAGAATGACCCTCAGGTAATATTCTCCTCTCAATGTTATCATCTTTGAGAATGACCCTCAGGTAATATACTCTCCATGTTACTATCTTTGAGAATGACCCTCAGGTAATATCCTCTCCATGTTATCATCTTTGAGAATGACCCTCAGGTAATATCCTCTCCATGTTACTATCTTTGAGAATGACCCTCAGGTAATATCCTCTCCATGTTACTATCTTTGAGAATGACCCTCAGGTAATATCCTCTCCATGTTACTATCTTTGAGAATGACCCTCAGGTAATATACTCTTCATGTTATCATCTTTGAGAATGACCCTCAGGTAATATCCTCTCCATGTTATTATCTTTGAGAATGACCCTCAGGTAATATCCTCTCCATGTTATCATCTTTGAGAATGACCCTCAGGTAATATCCTCTCCATGTTACTATCTTTGAGAATGACTTTCAGGTAATATACTCTCCATGTTATCATCTTTGAGAATGACCCTCAGGTAATATCCTCTCCATGTTATTATCTTTGAGAATGACCCTCAGGTAATATCCTCTCCATGTTACTATCTTTGAGAATGACCCTCAGGTAATATTCTTCTCTCAATGTTATCATCTTTGAGAATGACCCTCAGGTAATATACTCTCCATGTTACTATCTTTGAGAATGACCCTCAGGTAATATCCTCTCCATGTTACTATCTTTGAGAATGACCCTCAGGTAATATCCTCTCCATGTTATTATCTTTGAGAATGACCCTCAGGTAATATACTCTCCATGTTATTATCTTTGAGAATGACCCTCAGGTAATATACTCTCCATGTTATCATCTTTGAGAATGACCCTCAGGTAATATCCTCTCCATGTTATCATCTTTGAGAATGACCCTCAGGTAATATACTCTCCATGTTATTATCTTTGAGAATGACCCTCAGGTAATATACTCTCCATGTTATCATCTTTGAGAATGACCCTCAGGTAATATCCTCTCCATGTTACTATCTTTGAGAATGACCCTCAGGTAATATACTCCTCTCAATGTTATCATCTTTGAGAATGACCCTCAGGTAATATCCTCTCAATGTTATTATCTTTGAGAATGACCCTCAGGTAATATTTGAACACTTTGATGATAGAGGTGTTCTTTCGAGAATTTAAAATGTTTTTGTCTTTTAATACTACTTGGGGGGATGGGGGCGGCGTGGGGGTGACACATCCACCAATGTTTGGTGGATGGTGGAATCATAGCTAGAATGAAAGGTAAATATTAAAACGAATTATCTCTAGCACTTAGCAACACCCCGGAGGAGTTTATAACACAAAACGCCGGCACGCTTAAGGTTATATATATTATAATAACCCCTCGTGCTAAAGCACGTCGGCGTCATTTTCATAATAAGAGTTGATAAATCCAGATTTTTGAAAAATTTTTGGAGCATGGGACAAAATTGTGACATGCATTTATTTGCCCTAATAAGCTCTAAATAGTGCCAAAAATAATTGTAAATCATGGATATAGCTACAAGCTAGGTCTAGACTCTAGAGGCCATCGAAAGTAGCATAACATTACCCATACCAGGTTCATGGAATGAATGAAAATGAACGAAAATGAACAAAAATGAATAATCTCCTAAAAGTGCTAAGAACGGTTCAAAATTGGTCGGAAAGAGTTTATATTGGTCCTAGGACCACTCAAACTAAGTTTGGGAATCACTGCATGTCTAGAACCAATGTTCCAAAATGTTCCAATTTTGTCCCAATAATCCTTCTGAGTATCCAGTTTTTTGGAACATCGAAGTATTGGCTGTATCTGAGTACTGGGAAGCCTCAACTCGGATTTATATTTTGGTCTTAATAATAACCAATATTTTGACACAAATTTGGACATCACTACTCACTAGCCGTATTTGTGCTGGGTATTAGAAAGGCTAGCAGGAAATTCTACGATCATTATTGTTTTATTTATTGTTTTATTTAAACTAGCAGGAACCCGTCTAACCCTAAAATGGTGTCAAGACTCAAGAGACTAAAACAATTATTACCTATTTAATTCGCGTTTTTGACACCACTTGGGGTACCAAATTTTGGGCTCTAAAACTCCTATTTCTTGGCCAATTTTTTTTTTCATGCTGATTTGGAGGCCATCAAAGCATTTGACCCAGTCAAAAAAGTTTCAGTTGTATATCTTTTACAGTTTTGCAGAAATTCGCGTTAAAGTTGATGCCGTGGTGTCAGTAAAATGGCACGAATAAATATATATATATCGTCTCGCTTTATACAGGGTGGCCCATGAAAGTCTACCCATCCTTATCTCTTAAAATTGTTACAGGTCGCTGAGATCTTGCTAATTATTTGTAAAACAAAAAGTGGCATAACTTATGTTCTGATAAATATTTTTGCTTCTAAATTTCACAGAATGTTAATAACAAGTAGCTAAACCTTTGTGGCAAGTTTTGTGTGATTGCGAGCTTCACTGAGCTTTTTTGACCAATTTAGCCCCTGAGCGAGCTAGCTTGAATTTCTCACCCAGAACTGTTAACATTGGTTAATAGAAACCACACAAAAAATCCTGGGTAAAAAAATCAAAAAACCAGCGATTTATTCACGTTTTACCAATTCTATTCACCACGAACCATCGCACATTCCATTCTCTCTATATTTTAACTGATAAGGACTATCACAGATGATCCGCCCTGCTTGTTTATATCGTTCTTCTCACATGGAATGTGCGATGAATAGAATTGGTAAAACATAAATAAATCGCTGGTTTTTTAATTTTTTTACCCAGGATTTTTTGTGGTTCCTATTAACCAATGTAAACATTTCTGGGTGAGAAATTGAAGCTAGCACGCTCAGGAGCTAACTTTGTCAGACAAGCTCAGACTCACACAAAACTTAGCACGAAGTAGTGTCTAATTATGATTGACATTCTCTAAAAATTTGAATCAAAAATATTAATCAGAACGTAAGTTATGGCGCTTTTCCATTCTGAAATAAAATAATTAGTGAGATCTCAGCGAGCTGTTACAATTTTAAGAGATAAGGACGGGTAGACTTTTGAGGCCCATCCTGTATAATAAAAAAATCCGTTATACAACAAAAATGGTTACAAAAATCAAAATTGGAACCACCCTCACATCGGTTCTAGACATGCAGTGATTCCCAAACTTGGTTTGAGTGGTCCTAGGACCAATATAAACACTTTCCGACCAATTTTAAACCATTCTGAGCACTTTGAGGAGAATGTTCATTTTCGTTCATTTCTGGTCATTCTATGGGTAATTTTATACGACTTTTGATGAGTCCTAGGCCTAGCTTATGGCTATATCCATCTTGGAAAACCGAATTAAGCCTTTCCAGCACTCAAATACGGCCAATACTGCGATGTCCCCACGTTCCAAATTTATGGATTCATCTACTGCATAATAATACCTCGTGCTTCACACTCGAAATTATTATCAATGTTTCCACAATCTCAACTACTCTGAAACCAAGATGAAACCATTGCCCCAGGCCCTTTCTGCTCATACTAGACCCACCAAACTATCCAGGGACATTTCGATTCCGATCGGTTTCAGCTCAGTCTAGGGGTATTCTGAGACAATGTTCATTATTTGTCCATTTCATTCATTCAGGAGAATATTTCACAGGAGGCTGAAAATGTTGGTACACATACCAATTGCCACTGTATCATGCCAGAGCAAATCCAACTCAGTTCACGGACATTTACAGCCAAAAAACGTGTATCAGAAGGTGTCTCAAATGTTTCCAAAATTTCGGATCTATTTTATGCACAAAAAATCAAATAATAATAAATGAAAATAAATATCAACAGAATATGAGAATAACATACTCAAACTGATACTGTAGACTGCAGGCGCGGTTAATGTGCTGCGCCAAAAGACAAATTTGTAGACTTTTAACCAACCGATATGCGACAAAACTCGCGGATTTTATAAAAATCTGAACATGCCCAAGTCTAAACATTTTAAGGTTAAAGTTAGATATATAGTTAGATAAACTATATATAGTTTATATATAAATAAATAGTTCCTTTTTATCTGATAATAAATAACCAGGAGTTAAGACGAGTTTTAGATGAAGAGGGAGATATAGAATGTAAAGACCCGAATGGTCTAACACCTTTACAACTGTGCTCCATCGTTGGGAATACCGCACTAGCTGAGGTACAGTAATTTCAGTTCTCATTGAAATAAGTACACGTACATTAAGTTTATTTAGTCACTTCATATTTTACTTTTTAAGACATTTAAAAAATTGTCCTTGTCACCCAATCAGTGAACACTGAATACCTTATAATAATATAATGAAAAGTTTTACTGTGAAAATGTAGGTACTGCTGGACCATGGCGCAAATCCTGATCTGGAGACTGCAGAGGGCTGGTCGATAGTACAAGAATGTGTAGCGTCCGGTAACCTCTCCCTAGCCCAGGTGCTGAATATCTTACTAGTGGTAGAGATACCTCACTGGCAATATATCTTACTAGTGGTACAGATACCTCACTGCAATATATCTTACTAGTGGTAGAGATACCTCACTGGCAATATATCTTACTAGTGGTAGAGATACTGCACTGGCAATATATCTTACTAGTGGTACAGATACCTCACTGGCAATATATCTTACTAGTGGTACAGATACCTCACTGGTAATATATCTTACTAGTGGTAGAGATACCTCACTGGTAATATATCTTACTAGTGGTAGAGATACCTCACTGGCAATATATCTTACTAGTGGTAGAGATACCTCACTGCAATATATCTTACTAGTGGTAGAGATACCTCACTGGTAATATATCTTACTAGTGGTAGAGATACCTCACTGCAATATATCTTACTAGTGGTAGAGATACCTCACTGGTAATATATCTTACTAGTGGTAGAGATACCTCACTGGTAATATATCTTACTAGTGGTAGAGATACCTCACTGGCAATATATCTTACTAGTGGTACAGATACCTCACTGGTAATATATCTTACTAGTGGTAGAGATACCTCACTGGCAATATATCTTACTAGTGGTAGAGATACCTCACTGGCAATATATCTTACTAGTGGTAGAGATACCTCACTGGCAATATATCTTACTAGTGGTAGAGATACCTCACTGGTAATATATCTTACTAGTGGTAGAGATACCTCACTGCAATATATCTTACTAGTGGTAGAGATACCTCACTGGTAATATATCTTACTAGTGGTAGAGATACCTCACTGGTAATATATCTTACTAGTGGTAGATATACCTCACTGGCAATATATCTTACTAGTGGTACAGATACCTCACTGGTAATATATCTTACTAGTGGTAGATATACCTCACTGGCAATATATCTTACTAGTGGTAGAGATACCTCACTGGCAATATTCTTCTAGTGGTAGAGAACTATGGTTAACTTAGTAGGTGAAATGTTGGACACATACTATGGGTCGATACATCCAGAGCAAATCAACTCAGTGTCACGGAACATTTACAGCCAAAATCGTGTATCAGTAGGGATCTCAAATGTTTCCAAAATTTCGGATCTATTTTAGTACAAAAAATCCAAAAATAATAAATGAAATAAATATAACAGAGTAGAGAATAACATACTCAACTGGAATACTGTAGACTGCAGGCTGGGTTAAGTCTGCGCCAAAAGACAAATTCTGTAACTTTTACCACGATAGCCAAATACTCGCGGATTTTATATAAACTGAACATGCCCAAGTCTAAATATTTAAGTTAAAGTTAGAATAAGTAGATAACACTAATATAGTTTTACTATGAAGAATATTCCTTTTTATCTGAACAAATATAGATTTACTAGTGGTAGATATCCTCATGCCAAAAACTACTAGTGGGAGATACCTCACTGGCATATATCTTACTAGGCATAAGATACCTCCTGGAATATATCTTACTAGTGTACAGATACCTCACTACAAGTATATCTTAATATCTTACTAGTGGTAGAGATACCTCACTGGCAATATATCTTACTAGTGGTAGAGATACCTCACTGGCAATATATCTTACTAGTGGTAGAGATACCTCACTGGCAATATATCTTACTAGTGGTAGAGATACCTCACTGGCAATATATCTTACTAGTGGTAGAGATACCTCACTGGCAATATATCTTACTAGTGGTAGAGATACCTCACTGGCAATATATCTTACTAGTGGTAGAGATACCTCACTGGCAATATATCTTACTAGTGGTAGAGATACCTCACTGGCAATATATCTTACTAGTGGTAGAGATACCTCACTGGCAATATATCTTACTAGTGGTAGAGATACCTCACTGGCAATATATCTTACTAGTGGTAGAGATACCTCACTGGCAATATATCTTACTAGTGGTAGAGATACCTCACTGGCAATATATCTTACTAGTGGTAGAGATACCTCACTGGCAATATATCTTACTAGTGGTAGAGATACCTCACTGGCAATATATCTTACTAGTGGTAGAGATACCTCACTGGCAATATATCTTACTAGTGGTAGAGATACCTCACTGGCAATATATCTTACTAGTGGTAGAGATACCTCACTGGCAATATATCTTACTAGTGGTAGAGATACCTCACTGGCAATATATCTTACTAGTGGTAGAGATACCTCACTGGCAATATATCTTACTAGTGGTAGAGATACCTCACTGGCAATATATCTTACTAGTGGTAGAGATACCTCACTGGCAATATATCTTACTAGTGGTAGAGATACCTCACTGGCAATATATCTTACTAGTGGTAGAGATACCTCACTGGCAATATATCTTACTAGTGGTAGAGATACCTCACTGGCAATATATCTTACTAGTGGTAGAGATACCTCACTGGCAATATATCTTACTAGTGGTAGAGATACCTCACTGGCAATATATCTTACTAGTGGTAGAGATACCTCACTGGCAATATATCTTACTAGTGGTAGAGATACCTCACTGGCAATATATCTTACTAGTGGTAGAGATACCTCACTGGCAATATATCTTACTAGTGGTAGAGATACCTCACTGGCAATATATCTTACTAGTGGTAGAGATACCTCACTGGCAATATATCTTACTAGTGGTAGAGATACCTCACTGGCAATATATCTTACTAGTGGTAGAGATACCTCACTGGCAATATATCTTACTAGTGGTAGAGATACCTCACTGGCAATATATCTTACTAGTGGTAGAGATACCTCACTGGCAATATATCTTACTAGTGGTAGAGATACCTCACTGGCAATATATCTTACTAGTGGTAGAGATACCTCACTGGCAATATATCTTACTAGTGGTAGAGATACCTCACTGGCAATATATCTTACTAGTGGTAGAGATACCTCACTGGCAATATATCTTACTAGTGGTAGAGATACCTCACTGGCAATATATCTTACTAGTGGTAGAGATACCTCACTGGCAATATATCTTACTAGTGGTAGAGATACCTCACTGGCAATATATCTTACTAGTGGTAGAGATACCTCACTGGCAATATATCTTACTAGTGGTAGAGATACCTCACTGGCAATATATCTTACTAGTGGTAGAGATACCTCACTGGCAATATATCTTACTAGTGGTAGAGATACCTCACTGGCAATATATCTTACTAGTGGTAGAGATACCTCACTGGCAATATATCTTACTAGTGGTAGAGATACCTCACTGGCAATATATCTTACTAGTGGTAGAGATACCTCACTGGCAATATATCTTACTAGTGGTAGAGATACCTCACTGGCAATATATCTTACTAGTGGTAGAGATACCTCACTGGCAATATATCTTACTAGTGGTAGAGATACCTCACTGGCAATATATCTTACTAGTGGTAGAGATACCTCACTGGCAATATATCTTACTAGTGGTAGAGATACCTCACTGGCAATATATCTTACTAGTGGTAGAGATACCTCACTGGCAATATATCTTACTAGTGGTAGAGATACCTCACTGGCAATATATCTTACTAGTGGTAGAGATACCTCACTGGCAATATATCTTACTAGTGGTAGAGATACCTCACTGGTAATATATCTTACTAGTGGTAGAGATACCTCACTGGCAATATATCTTACTAGTGGTAGAGATACCTCACTGGCAATATATCTTACTAGTGGTACAGATACCTCACTGGCAATATATCTTACTAGTGGTAGAGATACCTCACTGGCAATATATCTTACTAGTGGTAGAGATACCTCACTGGCAATATATCTTACTAGTGGTAGAGATACCTCACTGGCAATATATCTTACTAGTGGTAGAGATACCTCACTGGCAATATATCTTACTAGTGGTAGAGATACCTCACTGGCAATATATCTTACTAGTGGTAGAGATACCTCACTGGCAATATATCTTACTAGTGGTAGAGATACCTCACTGGCAATATATCTTACTAGTGGTAGAGATACCTCACTGGCAATATATCTTACTAGTGGTAGAGATACCTCACTGGCAATATATCTTACTAGTGGTAGAGATACCTCACTGGCAATATATCTTACTAGTGGTAGAGATACCTCACTGGCAATATATCTTACTAGTGGTAGAGATACCTCACTGGCAATATATCTTACTAGTGGTAGAGATACCTCACTGGCAATATATCTTACTAGTGGTAGAGATACCTCACTGGCAATATATCTTACTAGTGGTAGAGATACCTCACTGGCAATATATCTTACTAGTGGTAGAGATACCTCACTGGCAATATATCTTACTAGTGGTAGAGATACCTCACTGGCAATATATCTTACTAGTGGTAGAGATACCTCACTGGCAATATATCTTACTAGTGGTAGAGATACCTCACTGGCAATATATCTTACTAGTGGTAGAGATACCTCACTGGCAATATATCTTACTAGTGGTAGAGATACCTCACTGGCAATATATCTTACTAGTGGTAGAGATACCTCACTGGCAATATATCTTACTAGTGGTAGAGATACCTCACTGGCAATATATCTTACTAGTGGTAGAGATACCTCACTGGCAATATATCTTACTAGTGGTAGAGATACCTCACTGGCAATATATCTTACTAGTGGTAGAGATACCTCACTGGTAATATATCTTACTAGTGGTAGAGATACCTCACTGGCAATATATCTTACTAGTGGTAGAGATACCTCACTGGCAATATATCTTACTAGTGGTAGAGATACCTCACTGGCAATATATCTTACTAGTGGTAGAGATACCTCACTGGCAATATATCTTACTAGTGGTAGAGATACCTCACTGGCAATATATCTTACTAGTGGTAGAGATACCTCACTGGCAATATATCTTACTAGTGGTACAGATACCTCACTGGCAATATATCTTACTAGTGGTAGAGATACCTCACTGGCAATATATCTTACTAGTGGTAGAGATACCTCACTGGCAATATATCTTACTAGTGGTAGAGATACCTCACTGGCAATATATCTTACTAGTGGTAGAGATACCTCACTGGCAATATATCTTACTAGTGGTAGAGATACCTCACTGGCAATATATCTTACTAGTGGTAGAGATACCTCACTGGCAATATATCTTACTAGTGGTAGAGATACCTCACTGGCAATATATCTTACTAGTGGTAGAGATACCTCACTGGCAATATATCTTACTAGTGGTAGAGATACCTCACTGGCAATATATCTTACTAGTGGTAGAGATACCTCACTGGCAATATATCTTACTAGTGGTAGAGATACCTCACTGGCAATATATCTTACTAGTGGTACAGATACCTCACTGGCAATATATCTTACTAGTGGTAGAGATACCTCACTGGCAATATATCTTACTAGTGGTAGAGATACCTCACTGGCAATATATCTTACTAGTGGTAGAGATACCTCACTGGCAATATATCTTACTAGTGGTAGAGATACCTCACTGGCAATATATCTTACTAGTGGTAGAGATACCTCACTGGCAATATATCTTACTAGTGGTAGAGATACCTCACTGGCAATATATCTTACTAGTGGTAGAGATACCTCACTGGCAATATATCTTACTAGTGGTAGAGATACCTCACTGGCAATATATCTTACTAGTGGTAGAGATACCTCACTGGTAATATATCTTACTAGTGGTAGAGATACCTCACTGGCAATATATCTTACTAGTGGTAGAGATACCTCACTGGCAATATATCTTACTAGTGGTAGAGATACCTCACTGGCAATATATCTTACTAGTGGTAGAGATACCTCACTGGCAATATATCTTACTAGTGGTAGAGATACCTCACTGGCAATATATCTTACTAGTGGTACAGATACCTCACTGGCAATATATCTTACTAGTGGTACAGATACCTCACTGGCAATATATCTTACTAGTGGTAGAGATACCTCACTGGCAATATATCTTACTAGTGGTACAGATACCTCACTAGCAATATATCTTACTAGTGGTAGAGATACCTCACTGGCAATATATCTTACTAGTGGTAGAGATACCTCACTGGCAATATATCTTACTAGTGGTAGAGATACCTCACTGCAATATATCTTACTAGTGGTAGAGATACCTCACTGGTAATATATCTTACTAGTGGTAGAGATACCTCACTGGCAATATATCTTACTAGTGGTAGAGATACCTCACTGCAATATATCTTACTAGTGGTAGAGATACCTCACTGGTAATATATCTTACTAGTGGTACAGATACCTCACTGCAATATATCTTACTAGTGGTAGAGATACCTCACTGGCAATATATCTTACTAGTGGTACAGATACCTCACTCGCAATATATCTTACTAGTGGTAGAGATACCTCACTGGCAATATATCTTACTAGTGGTAGAGATACCTCACTGGTAATATATCTTACTAGTGGTAGAGATACCTCACTGGTAATATATCTTACTAGTTGTAGAGATACCTCACTAGCAATATATCTTACTAGTATAGTGGTAGAGATACCTCACTGCAATATATCTTACTAGTGGTAGAGATACCTCACTGGTAATATATCTTACTAGTGGTAGAGATACCTCACTGGCAATATATCTTACTAGTGGTAGAGATACCTCACTGGCAATATATCTTACTAGTGGTAGAGATACCTCACTGGCAATATATCTTACTAGTGGTAGAGATACCTCACTGGCAATATATCTTACTAGTGGTAGAGATACCTCACTGGTAATATATCTTACTAGTGGTAGAGATACCTCACTGGCAATATATCTTACTAGTGGTACAGATACCTCACTGGCAATATATCTTACTAGTGGTACAGATACCTCACTGGCAATATATCTTACTAGTGGTAGAGATACCTCACTGGCAATATATCTTACTAGTGGTAGAGATACCTCACTGGCAATATATCTTACTAGTGGTACAGATACCTCACTGGCAATATATCTTACTAGTGGTAGAGATACTGGCAATATATCTTACTAGTGGTAGAGATACCTCACTGGCAATATATCTTACTAGTGGTAGAGATACTGGCAATATATCTTACTAGTGGTAGAGATACCTCACTGCAATATATCTTACTAGTGGTAGAGATACTGGCAATATATCTTACTAGTGGTAGAGATGCCTCACTGGCAATATATCTTACTAGTGGTAGAGATACCTCACTGCAATATATCTTACTAGTGGTAGAGATACTGGCAATATATCTTACTAGTGGTAGAGATACCGCACTGGCAATATATCTTACTAGTGGTAGAGATACCTCACTGGCAATATATCTTACTCATTCTTATTTACTGTTTCGAATACATATAGCTGTTTCCTTGTTTTAGCAAATTATTACAATCTGAAATTAAATTCAGTTAGTGTTGGACGCCAGAGAAATTCGGCGAGCAGAAAAAAGAGCAGCCCTTGTGAACGATTTGCTGACAAAGCTTAGCAATGCTCCTGATTTCTATTGTGAGATGAAGTAAGAGGTTTTCAGGACTCTTAACGTAACACTTCGACAATAACCACACATTGAAAGTTGATAAAGTAAAGTAATGATGTTGTTTTGATAAGGAACGGTTTATTTCCTTACCCTTGCTGAAGCCAAAAAGATCGTAGGTATTAAGGAGTCGAGTTTTGATTTATGTAATCATTACATCGATATTCGGCATGCCGAATATCTTGATTCCTTTGTAATATTCAACATTGTAAAAATTAACATGCTTCTAAGAACTCAACATGTATTGACAAGTTCAGTTTGAGATCATGTAACGCATTAAGACTGCATCACATCCTATAAATTCTAGCTGCACGTAAAGTGCACGTCATTTAATTACAGTGCATTTTATATTGCAGGTTTCAAAAAGGAAAAATTTTACTCGAATTCAGGAATATGGTAGTCAAACATGTTCATCGGGGGAAGAGTATTTTTAGCGGCCACAGCCAATCAACATTAAATTGCTTATACTCGTGTTTGAGAAAATGTTAAAAACTGTAATTGCAATAGACCATTAAATCCTCTCTAAATTCTACTTTTTATTCCTTAGATGGGACTTTACAAGTTGGGTGCCTCTAGTAGCAAGAATGTGTCCTAGTGATACCTACAGAATTTACAAAAGTGGACCCGCTGTGAGGATAGACTCCACTTTAACTGGATACGATCAGACTAATTGGAAAAGAGGAAATATAACCTTCATGTTTCTTGCTAATGAATCGGGTATGATCAGATTTCAGAAACCTTTACTTTGACTATCGCGACAATCAACATAGAAATATGTTGTTCGACTCCAACATTTTACGGAACAGTGCAAGTGGAAGGTTCAAATAAAAATTGAGGACACGGTGTTACTTTCAGTAATCTAGAATTGAGGACACGGTGTTACTTTCAGTAATCTAGAATTGAGGACACGGTGTTACTTTCAGTAATCTAGAATTGAGGACACGGTGTTACATTTAGTAATATATAATTGAGGACACGGTGTTACATTTAGTAATATATATTTGAGGACACGGTGTTACATTTAGTAATATATAATTGAGGACACGGTGTTACATTTAGTAATATATAATTGAGGATACGGTGTTACATTTAGTAATATATAATTGAGGACACGGTGTTACATTTAGTAATATATAATTGAGGACACGGTGTTACATTTAGTAATATATAATTGAGGACACGGTGTTACATTTAGTAATATATAATTGAGGACACGGTGTTACATTTAGTAATATATAATTGAGGACACGGTGTTACATTTAGTAATATATAATTGAGGACACGGTGTTACTTTCAGTAATCTAGAATTGAGGACACGGTGTTATGTTTAACAATCTAAAAGGCCAACTTTATATCACAACACTACAGAAAGATCGTATAAACCTCTATTTTTCTATCCTGGATGCAGGCTGTGAGATATACGACATTAACCACGATGCTCGCACGATAAGTTTAGACAGAATAGACATGACACACCCGGGCGATTCGTTTGATTCGCAGTCCCTTTCAAGCAGGCTATCTTCCCCGCTCACTTCTACCAGGATAAAAACAGACAATGTACAGTTCTGGAGGGAGAAGGTTTTTACTTGATGATTATTTCTTCGCAATGTTCTCAACTTTAAGCCTTACTGAATACTGATACCGCTTGTAAAGTATAAAGATATAATATGAATATGACTTGTAATACGTTTCAGGCAGGACTAATAGGGTTTCGTACAGATAAAACTGAGGAGATTTCTGGCTATGAATGTTCTGTACACAGCACCTCCGGTTAGCTATTAGCTAATATAGAATTGTCATATTATTTAAATTTATTGTAGTTTTAGTGATGAAATGGCGCCATTACTCCCAAATGTTTCTTGTGTATTTTTATTTGGCCCCTTTACGGTTACAGCTGACTGGCCGTACAACCTGAGTCTCCGAATCCTGCAAATAGCAGATAACCCTGGTAACCAGATAACCCTGGTAACCAGATAACCCTGGTAAACAGATAACCCTGGTAACCAGATAACCCTGGTAACCAGATAACCCTGGTAACCAGATAACCCTGGTAACCAGATAACCCTGGTAACCAGATAACCCTGGTAACCAGATAACCCTGGTAACCAGATAACCCTGGTAACCAGATAACCCTGGTAACCAGATAACCCTGGTAACCAGATAACCCTGGTAACCAGATAACCCTGGTAACCAGATAACCCTGGTAACCAGATAACCCTGGTAACCAGATAACCCTGGTAACCAGATAACCCTGGTAACCAGATAACCCTGGTAACCAGATAACCCTGGTAACCAGATAACCCTGGTAACCAGATAACCCTGGTAACCAGATAACCCTGGTAACCAGATAACCCTGGTAACCAGATAACCCTGGTAACCAGATAACCCTGGTAACCAGATAACCCTGGTAACCAGATAACCCTGGTAACCAGATAACCCTGGTAACCAGATAACCCTGGTAACCAGATAACCCTGGTAACCAGTCACCAGATAACCCTGGTAACCAGATAACCCTGGTAACCAGATAACCCTGGTAACCAGATAACCTGATAACCCTGGTCCACAGGTATAGAGATAGTAACAAGAGAAAGGGTGGAACATCTGACGACGGAACAGCGAGTAGTGATAGCGAGTAACACTAGCATGTTCGAGTCCCTGCTGAGTGGCTCTGTAGTGTCTCATAGTGAGGAGCCTGCAGCTAGTAATGGTGGTCCTGTGGATATGCCATTGGTGGTAGATGAGGTTAGTTCTTAACCTTGCCAGTGTCATCTGGTGACATACTACATATTATCATATAAAATACTACTAATTTATGCGAAATCTATTTCCATTTTACGACTCTTTAATTCACCTAGACCGAGTTTAATTACGAGGATGAGATGGACCAGAAAATATTGGATTATTTCGAACAAAACACGAGTAAAGTGAGGATCCGACCAAAGGAACAGACGGACAAAGTTCAGAAATTTAAAGCCAGGGTCTGGCTGAGTAACAACCACCCTCTCTCTCTGCAGGTCAGTGTTTAATAATCCTCCCCACACATGTTTAAAGGAAACACAAACTACACATACTTCATGTTTAAAGGATACACAAACTACACATACTACATGTTTAAAGGATACACAAACTACACATACTACATGTTTAAAGGACCAACACCTGTTTAAAGGAAACACAAACTAACATACTTCATGGTATAAAGGATACACAAACTACACATACTACATTGTTTAAAGGATCACACAAACCATTTTTAGAATAAAAAAGTACAGGCATTACTAGTTTTATTGTGCTGTAAGGGGGGGGGGGGGGGGGGGGGGGGGGGGGGGTCATGAGCATTTTTGAGAGTTGCAACGAAAATGGTCAAATTCTCATCCTCAAAAATTATATCTGAGTATTTTTGAGAAAAGTTTCCAGGAGAGGCGAAAAACTCATACTCAACAAGAATTTCGCCGCGGTTACACCACGCACGATCAAATGTCTCTACAATGTAATTGTTTTACTTGTATTGCATCCCAGAGTGATGTTTGGTGCACGTGATAATTGTTTTTACTATTAGGCGTGCAGACCTTGAAAAACTCTGCGTGCACCTTAGGTGTCGATGTCGATCTGTATGTGGTTTGGTTGTACTTTGTAGGTCACATCATATTTTGCGCGGTTTGTTTCGTTATAACAATGCGCACATCATGTCACGTCATATTATTGCATAGTATGCCAACTTTATTGACTGTAATATGTCTCATCATCTGTCTCATCTTAGTTATTATTTGTATCTAACATTAACTAATACATTTTGATGCTTTCTCGACACATCTACAGCACCTGCACCATCTGCATCGCGATCGACTATCGAGGCTCGAGCCTTTTATTTGATATAAGATTCTTTAAAAGCTTGACGCAATCTTATTTGCTTCTTGAATGTAAATGTAAAGTAACATCTGTTTCCAACTAAGTATTCGCTTTTTACCATTCAGTGTCGAACTAATAAATAATCAGCCACGAGTTTATCAGCTGATATCATAATTTTATTTGTTTTGACTCGCTGAATCTTATCACTCGGTAATTCATTAAGCTTGTTTCATCAAAATAAAATGTATATTGATGATTGATCCGCTCAGATGACTAAATATTAATACGCTATATAGAATTTTGTCTTTAACGTAGGACCGTCGGGCCACCTCATATATCCAAACCCGATTACTTATTCCCTACGATCTTTTTGCCTTCGGTTTTATTTGTATACCGCTTAAGCCGTATAAGCGACGGTCAAAATGGTCAAATTCTAAGATTCAAAAAGTCTCAAAAATACTCCTGACCACCCCCCCCCCTGTAAACATTTCGGTGAATAATATTGTTGATGTGTTCAGGAACAACTGCTACCCATAGTCGAATTAATGAGTACCGGAAATGCTCACTTTTCAAAGCTGAAAGACTTTATCACCCTTCAACTTCCGGCCGGGTTCCCAGTTAACATCGAGATTCCGCTATACCACATGATAAATGCCAGGTTTGAGATTTTCCTATTGATATCGTAGACAAGGGTGAATACCTTTGTTAAATTGTATTTTTTTAGCAAAACATTTTTTCTGACTTTCGAAAATCTTTTGTGCAGAACATGGGGAATAACTTTCTCTTTTTCGGTTAACTGGATAAAAAGTACAAAATTAAGTTAGTTGAGGTTAATTGGCCCAAAACATGGAGATAACTAAATATAAGACTTACCTTAGCTTTAGTTCCCAAACATTTTTTTGACCAAAACTTTGCCCTCTCGCCCAAGTTTTTCCCACACAAATTAACCGTCGACCAAAAATTTTGCATTTCAATTTTTCTCTTTGTAGAGTAAATTTGTGGTTAAACCATCAAAATAATGTTTTGCCGAATTTCATTAGGAGTAATTTCACCCTGATATTTAGCTTGTGGGAGTTGGTCGAGTTTTCTTGTGATTGTGATTGTGTAACCCACATTCTCAAATATAAACTGTGCGACTACTCCTATCTTTTACTCTTTTACAGGATAACATTCTCAAATATAAACTGTGCGACTACTCCCATCTTTTACAGGATCACCCCTGCAGATTTCGTCCATTTCAGGTGCCGACAGCACCTTAAAAATTAAAAGCAAACTTAAATTTTTTCCCCTAAAATCGAGCGCTTTCTGCGCAAAAAATTGACCTCAACAGAAAAAATTAAACATGGCTTCAAATCCAAATTTGAACCAGAGATTTTTCACTTCCTCTCGATAAACTCAATTTTCAACCCAAAATAAAGTCTCAAAGGGGGAAATTACTCAGGTCAGGATTGTAGGCAATGATTATGCCAAACCATACATTTTTGTAAATTCATTAAACTTTCAATTTAGCCTAAAACACCCTATTTCGCAAAATTTTTCCCTAGCCCCCGCCAATGGGGTCCACCCCTGGACCCCGCTGGGGGCTGCGCCCCCAGACCCCTGCCACAGCTTGCAGCTTCCCTCGCCGACAGCCCCCCAAAAGAAAAATCCTGGCTACGTGCCTGAGCAAAATATAGGTTTAGGGCTTTTCAGATGATTTGGTTCCTCAACAGATACCGACGTACATAACGGTCAATATGTAGTTTAGGTTTACCTGGCCCGTAGGTTACGAATGTGCCCGAGGAGAAAAAAAAAGCAAACTTAAGAAGATTTCTCGGGAACTTAAAAGTTCACCTCAAAACGAAATCTGCACCTATGTACAGGATAACATTCTCAAATATAAACTGTGCGACTACTCCTATCTTTTACAGGATAACATTCTCCAATATAAACTGTGCGACTACTCCTATCTTTTACAGGATAACATTCTCAAATATAAACTGTGCGAGCGCGACTACTCCTATCTTTTACAGGATAACATTCTCCAATATAAACTGTGCGACTACTCCTATCTTTTACAGGATAACATTCTCAAATATAAACTGTGCGAGTACTCCTATCTTTTACAGGATAACATTCTCAAATATAAACTGTGCGACTACTCCTATCTTTTACAGGATAACATTCTCAAATATAAATTGTGCGACTACTCCTATCTTTTACAGGATAACATTCTCCAATATAAACTGTGCGACTACTCCTATCTTTTACAGGATAACATTCTCAAATATAAACTGTGCGACTACTCCTATCTTTTACAGGATAAAATTCTCAAATATAAACTGTGCGACTACTCCTATCTTTTACAGGATAACATTCTCCAATATAAACTGTGCGACTACTACTATCTTTCACAGGATAACATTCCCCAATATAAACTGTGCGAGTACTCCTATCTTTTACAGGATAACATTCTCCAATATAAACTGTGCGACTACTCCTATCTTTTACAGGATAACATTCTCAATTATAAACTGTGCGAGTACTCTATCTTTTACAGGATAACATTCTCAAATATAAACTGTGCGACTACTCCTATCTTTTACAGGATAACATTCTCCAATATAAACTGTGCGACTACTCCTATCTTTTACAGGATAACATTCTCCAATATAAACTGTGCGACTACTCCTATCTTTTACAGGATAACATTCTCAAATATAAACTGTGCGACTACTCCTATCTTTTACAGGATAACATTCTCCAATATAAACTGTGCGACTACTCCTATCTTTTACAGGATAACATTCTCCAATATAAACCGTGCGACTACTCCTATCTTTTACAGGATAACATTCTCCAGTATAAACTGTGCGACTACTCCTATCTTTTACAGGATAACATTCTCCAATATAAACTGTGCGACTACTCCTATCTTTTACAGGATAACATTCTCCAATATAAACCGTGCGACTACTCCTATCTTTTACAGGATAACATTCTCCAATATAAACCGTGCGACTACTCCTATCTTTTACAGGATAACATTCTCCAATATAAACTGTGCGACTACTCCTATCTTTTACAGGATAACATTCTCCAATATAAACTGTGCGACTTCTCCTATCTTTTACAGGATAACATTCTCAAATATAAACTGTGCGACTACTCCTATCTTTTACAGGATAACATTCTCCAATATAAACTGTGCGAGTACTCCTATCTTCTACAGGATAACATTCTCCAATATAAACTGTGCGACTACTCCTATCTGTTACAGGATAACATTGTCAAATATAAACTGTGTGACTACTCCTATCTTTTACAGGATAACATTCTCAAATATAAACTGTGCGACTACTCCTATCTTTTACAGGATAACATTCTCAAATATAAACTGTGCGACTACTCCTATTTTTTACAGGATAACATTTTCAAATATAAACTGTGCGACTACTCCTATCTTTTACAGGATAATATTCTCAAATATAAACTGTGCGACTACTCCTATCTTTTACAGGATAACATTCTCCATGATATAAACTGTGCGACTACTCCTATCTGTTACAGGATAACATTCTCAAATATAAACTGTGCGACTACTCCTATCTTTTACAGGATAACATTCTCCAATATAAACTGTGCGACTACTCCTATCTTTTACAGGATAATATTCTCCAATATAAACTGTGCGACTACTCCTATCTTTTACAGGATAATATTCTCCAATATAAACTGTGCGACTACTCCTATCTTTTACAGGATAACATTCTCCAATATAAACTGTGCGACTACTCCTATCTTTTACAGGATAACAATCTCAAATATAAACTGTGCGAGTACTCCTATCTTTTACAGGATAACATTCTCAAATATAAACTGTGCGACTACTCCTATCTTTTACAGGATAACATTCTCCAATATAAACTGTGCGACTACTCCTATCTTTTACAGGATAATATTCTCCAATATAAACTGTGCGACTACTCCTATCTTTTACAGGATAACATTCTCCAATATAAACTGTGCGACTACTCCTATCTTTTACAGGATAACAATCTCAAATATAAGCTGTGCGAGTACTCCTATCTTTTACAGGATAACATTCTCAAATATAAATTGTGCGACTACTCCTATCTTTTACAGGATAACATTCTCAAATATAAACTGTGCGAGTACTCCTATCTTTTACAGGATAACATTCTCAAATATAAACTGTGCGACTACTCCTATCTTTTACAGGATAACATTCTCCAATATAAACTGTGCGATTACTCCTATCTTTTACAGGATAACATTCTCAAATATAAACTGTGCGACTACTCCTATCTTTTACAGGATAACATTCTCCAATATAAACTGTGCGACTACTCCTATCTTTTACAGGATAATATTCTCCAATATAAACTGTGCGACTACTCCTATCTTTTACAGGATAACATTCTCCAATATAAACTGTGCGAGTACTCCTATCTTTTACAGGATAACATTCTCCAATATAAACTGTGCGAGTACTCCTATCTTTTACAGGATAACATTCTCAAATATAAATTGTGCGACTACTCCTATCTTTTACAGGATACCATTCTCAAATATAAACTGTGCGACTACTCCTATCTTTTACAGGATAACATTCTCCAATATAAACTGTGCGACTACTCCTATCTTTTACAGGATAACATTCTCAAATATAAACTGTGCGACTACTCCTATCTTTTACAGGATAACATTCTCCAATATAAACTGTGCGACTACTCCTATGGACGGGGTACTGTGTTTAGAGGGCCCGCAGGAGAACAGAGAGTGCACGTCTTGTGTAGTAGACGCTCACATATTCACCCCACCTGCTGACTACTTCCGGATAGGTTAGTGGGCTCGTTGTTATCGGGCCTTCTTGTCATTGCCGTTCACATGCTTTTGTATTTTTTCATACCGGTCAAAAGGCCATAAAAACATTTGACCCAGCCAAAAAGTATCAATAGTATATCTTTCACGGTTTTAGCGGTAAGTCTTATTATTAAATACAAGTTCTAAACAAGGGATAGTAACAAAACAACGCCCAAGTCGAATCTTTCCCTGAAACTAATAACTAAAATATATCAAAACTTCATTGTAATTTCTGCCGATATCTCTTATCATAAGCTAAATTACGAAGATAATACAGATCAAAAATATTATTCATAGAAAGATTTCTTTTTCATAAATCATGCAAAATCAGTGAAAATAAATTGCGTCTCCCACTCAAGAGGTTTTCAGCAAACGGAGGGTTGGGTCTTAGATAAGACATAAAGGCACGAAGGTGGTAAAGTGCGCCAGCCAAATAAAGGGTGAAAGGGTTTCCAGACAAACTAAACCTTGGAACGCACCTATCGTGACACCCCTGATACGGTAGACCTCACTTTAATCTTCAGTTTGGTACATGAGAGTAGATACCTTCCCAGTCGCATGTCGTCTTCACTACAACCAGCATCAGCAAGAAGTTATATCAAAACTGATCCCTTAATGGTATCGAATGCAGAAGAGATATCAATACCTATTTTGTGTAGAGACCAGCGATTCTCCTTCACAACTGAAACTAGGATCCGTTGTGTCCAAACAATATTTGCAAGCTATGGCCAGGCTTGTAAGCATTTTGCCAAGGTCCTGTGTACTGAGAAACTTGTCTTTGAATGCGTCTAAGGACTATCATGTTTAAAACTTTTACACTTTAAAAGACAAATAGGGCCCAGACTCTTGAAAGGTCCTCGTGGTTTACCAGGTTTTTGCAGTGTCTGGTCCTGTGTAGTGTTGCTCAAAATAGTTGCGTATAATGTCAGCTTTTGCTACCAGAAAATGTAACAATCTCTCTCCATTCTCGTTCCTTCTACCAACACCATGCCTACCTATATGCTGCTGTAAACAATTTTCTTCATCAACAAATGAACGCTTGCCAAACTTGAAGTCTGAAAACGGACAAAATAACATGACCCCCCCCCCCCCCCCCCTGGGCTGAGCGCCTCTTTTTCTCGTTGACATGGTCACGGACGGAATGACAACATACCCAAACCTACCTCCCCAAAATCCATATTTTTCTGCAAAAACGTCCATTTGTAACCTTTCACTAAACATTTTTGCAAAAATGGTGAACGGAAAAATTTAAGTACGTATGAAATGGCCGAATTGAAAAGTACGACTAGTCCGTGCTTCTCATTTTTAGGAAATGTGTCACTTCTACATAGTTGCAATGATGTCTTTATATGAAGATGTAACTATGTAATACCGAGCACAACTATTAGCTTGGTCTCACATTGGTGGTTACATTGGTTACATCTTCATGACAATAAAGTTAAACCATCTATATACTCTAGTAAAGAAAATGAATTTTTTTTTAATTAGTTTCAAAAGAGTCTTGTACTAGATGAGTTTTGGATTTCTGTCCCGACACGGTTCCGGCACTCTAGTTTCGGATTCAGTAACAAATTGGTTGTGGCCTATCCTTGGCATTGTGTATTAACGGTTTCTCCCCTAACAGAGGGAGGTAACGAGAGACTGCGCCAGCAGCAGCAGTACTTGACAGACGATCAGATGCTGCAATTTGCCATACAACAGAGCATGTTACCCGCTGGAGCTGCGGGGGAAGACGATGGAGAGGAAGAAGAGGAGGTTAGTCGAACACAAAATTAAGTTTTATAGCTAGGATCAACACGAGAATCTATGTTAATACTCCCCTACAACATTACTATAAGAAGACATATCCCCAGTTGACGTGGATGGAAGCACTGTCCACTGTTGCCGACAGAGAGAGGCCAGCAGCTACTGTTGCTGACAGAGAGAGGCCAGCAGCTACACAAGACACCGTACAGACAGCTGTTCACCAGATTCCTGTGGAGGACCAATTTGAGCGTGTTCTCAGGATGTCTTTACAGGTTAAGGAGCTGCTTTAACTTTGTTCTTAGAATCATATATTTCACAAGCTGCTTAAAAAGTATTACATATTACAGTAGAATAGAGCATTTCACAAAGCTGCATAACAAGTATTACATATTACACTAGAATAAAGCATTTCACAAAGCTGCATAACAAGTATTACATATTACAGTAGAATAAAGCATTTCACAAAGCTGCATAACAAGTATTACTTATTACGGTACAGTAGAAAAGTGCATTTCACAAAGCTGCATAACAAGTATTACCTATTACAGTAGAATAGAGCATTTCACCTATTGCAGGACGAGGAGAGAAGACAAGAGCAACTCAGATTTGAGGAGGAAGAGGAATTGGCTAGAATAATAGCACTATCACTGAACGATAAATGACAAATTACCATTTTAAAGAGGGATTTTTCAGAAGGTTAGAAATTCGGAATCATATTTTCAGAAGGAATATTATTTTATTATTTTGGTCGGACGATTACGGAATGGACATCAGAATCCTTTATTAGTAGTACTCTTCTTTTATTCTGCTGAATATTTATTTGGATATCTAGGTCGTGTATATATTAGTTATTGCTTTAACCAAGGGTTACATCTTGGTGACAGTACTGGTATTATTTTGTTTTTACAGTGTCAATTTTCATAAATCCAATCAGATTTTGATCTTGGTATATTATTGTTATTACAATATTACATACAATATTATTATTGTTAGCGACTCCTAGTCCTATAACAGAGAACCCCAAATATCATCCCATTTATTTTTGTTTTTGAAGATAGTATTTTTGCTTAACTGTTTACAAATTGCAAATAGACTGAGAAGATAAAGCTTAAATATATATGGCTCATCAATAGGGTTTAAAGATTTGAACTGTGCTGAGTGACTTTTCCAGATCAATTTTTTTTCTGTACGCTATCGAACCTTTTCTGTATTCTTGTACAATGATGTTGATTGTTTCAAATATTTAATTTTGTGTGTTTGTGCTTATTTTCGTTTTTTATTTTTCCAAGAACCGACTCTAATAGTAGAGCTGTAGAGGCTCTTTAGAGCTTATACTCTAACGCTCTCCTTTCCGTGTCCGACTCCTTGATTCTTGGTATGATTTGAAACTTTTACAAAATAGCAAGTATACAAATGTACAGCAATTCGAACAAACATATAAAATGGGCCGAAATGTATAAATGCTAAAAAGCGTGGGTCAGTGAAACAAGTACAGAGGACAACTTTCAAAACAGGAGTTTTATGGCCGCCCAAAGTCTCAATAACATCACCTCCACCTAGTAATAAAATTATGAAATGTGAAAAGTGTGAAACAATCAAATAATAATGTATGCATATATAATATAATTGTCTCTCAAATACAGATAACGTCTGTAAACTCTTAAAATACCCCTACAAGTACATATTATACTGATCGGTGTCCGAGAAACATGAATTACGTCATCATGGTGCCTTCTTAACCCGGCTACAGACCTTCCCGTTACGGATGTAGTGGTCGAGATGAGTCTGTTCAGCCCTCTTCTTCTTCAGGTCAGTTACCACGTTCTTCCTTGCTGCACGCTCTTCACTGGATCTATCAGGACAGATCCATACATCTTTGTGTGCATCAGCCATCCTCAGTTTCCCTGTTTTCCATCAGAATCTGATGAACTGCTGTTGAGCTTGGGACGGTGATCTTGACTGGTCGGATAGCCGTGATACCTTCCAGCCGACTCTAGTCGCTTCGAAATGAGGTTTCTCCCCGATCTCCTCCAATAGTGCGGTTACCAGAGCTGGAAGCTGTTCTTCATCCTCTTCTTTCAGTCCAAACACTATCAGATTCTTGCTCCTGTCCTCCTCTGCAGCCACACTCTTCATAACATTCTTCAGAATTTTACTGTTGCAGACCGCGCCACTTGTGCTGTTCTTTTGTACAGCTGCACTGTAGCTCTTAATCCCTGTCTCCACCGTTGTTTGTACTGTCTCTTCAACTGATGTCTTAAACAACTGTAGTTGTTCGTCCTTCTGCACTAGCAACTGGTCCTGCAACCTGACCATCTTTTCCTTGTCTGCTAGTGCTTCCGTCTTGAGGCACTCAACGATTTCCATCATAGCGCTCATCTGACTACTCTGCCGTCGTACGAGGTCTGCTGCTTGCATAACCCATTCTGCCATATACCTTTTATAGATAGACGGAGACATGAGCATTTCTTGGTCCATATTTCCACGAATTTCGAAGTTTTCTAATTTCAGTTGTTTTGCCATCGAAGTGAACCATCTATCAGCGCAGCCCTCTACATCTTCCTTTTCTTCATAGTTGAAATCCTTGAGTTTCTTCTGAGATCGGGTCAAATTTAAATCATCCTCCGTGGTGTACATTGTATAGTAATGTACAAGTATACAGTATACACACGCAAAGGCTAACTACGCGGTAGCAGCAAACTGAACTTATCGCTAAGTTACAAAAGATAAGTATATATAAGGTATATTTTGCTCGGACAGAGAAAATGTGTAAAATTACGTGTATGTCATATGTGTAGCTGTTACTTGAAAGAAAACATTGCTTTAAATGAAAAATCGGGAACTAGGACGAACACCGATGCATTAAGACAACATTAAGGCAACATTAGAGCAACAAATTCGTTTAAGACATCAGTAACAAACTTAGTAAGGCATCAAATTATGTATAACACTATTTCTTTGAATATATTTTACTTTGTCAAATTATATTTCACTTCATCAACTGAGAGTAATATGAAATTGTGACTAAAACTCTGAAAATGAAATAATTAGGTATCATTATTTATGAGGTAATAATAATTTACAGAGCAATAAATTAAATTATTATCAAAACTTTACACAAATCCAAAGTAGTAACTAAGAACATCCTATAGACCTGATAAGTCTACTTAAAAGACTTACAGAACTGAAAATTTACTATAAATGCAAAAAATGGAACTTAAAACTGAAATTATCAAAATCAAAAATTATGCAAAAAATTGAACTTAAAACTGAAATTATCGAACTAAACAAATTCAAAATAAATTTCTCCACAATTGGCGGTTCGAGGCTAAATACCTTAAGTCTGTCAAGTCGTCACTATTATTCAAATAAATATTTCTTTATTTCAAATCGTCTAAAATAGTTTTTTAAATATTACATTGATGTCTACCAATCCTACCCCTCATATTTGACATACTATCAACAGCAAAATTTAGAGCTAGTTGTGGTGGTGAGTTGCAGTCGCTACGAAGAATGTGCCCAAACATTTTCCAGCGGGATTTATGAACTCTCTCTGAAAGTGGAGTTATATTGCAACGAGCATACAAGTCCTTGTTGCTGATGATGCGGGGATAGGTCATGTTGATGATACGTCTTAGATGTTTGCGTTGACATACATCAACTTTATTGATAATGTTCTGTGGAGCTGCCCAGCTGTTACAGTTGTACAATAAAACAGGGGTAACAAATGCTTCATACAGCTTGATTTTTACAGGAAGAGAAATGCGGGATTTCTCTGCCCGTACCTTGCTGTATTTCTCAAAGGCAACGTAAGCAAGGATGCATCGGCGAGGATGCATTGGCGAGAGATATCAGCCTTCGTTCGATCTGATTTACATCTTGGTGACAGTAACTGTCACCAAGATGTAAATCAGATCGAACGAGAAATTAGATCGAACGGCGTTCATTTGCTATAAGAGGACCAAAACTATATGGAACTACTACTATATATGGAACATTAAGTTCCTGATACTGATAGTATTAATAGTCAGTGTAATAAGCGCCAAGCGCGAGCACAGAACTTTTTTTCTCCGATTTCGATAAATTTGGTACCAAAATTTGTCTAAAAATGTGAATAAAATAAATCCACCGTGTAGCAATTTTCGCTAAAAATGCTACACGGCGCTTGTTCCATGTTCGCCGCGCGTGCTTTTTTCGCGCAAATTTTTAGTTTTTGGCCTATAACTTTCACATTTTCAGTTATTATCACATAATTATTATGGCATCGTAATCAACTCATCGAGACGAAACTTTTAGTACTAATATTTTAAGATTTAAAGGAAAATTATTTTCAAAATTTTTCAATTTGAATTGTGTGAAATTTGGGACAAATTTTTGAAAAATGTTGTGCTTCAAATATTATAATTCTGGTACCAAAAGTTGCGTCTGAGTAAGCTCATTACGATACTGTAATAATTATTTCAAAATATTCAATATTTTAGGAGTTATAGGCATTTTAAGCAATAAATTACCCATTTTTCGTCCTTTGTACATTCTTGTAATGCACAGGAGGCCCACATATAGCTCGACGTTATTTTGCTACACGGTGAATTTGCATTATTCACACTTAGAGGCAACTTTTGGTACCAAATTTATCAAAATCAGAGACAAAAAGTTCTGTGCCAACTCATGGCGCTTATTACATAGACTATAAAGCTGTTTGTCCAAGTTTATTGCTTTGATACCGGACAACCCTCCGACTTCCGGTTATAGCTGCAGCTGGTTCAATTCCCAGACTACTCGCCATCGAGGTGGTCAGAAATCTGATGACCCTTCCTGCTATACTAGGAGGATAAACACAACCAAAGTAAGAAGTGACAGCGCGCGTTATAAGAGACCCAAACGCGCTGAACGTTAAGTAGCTGGGAGAATTTTTATCAATCTGCCGCCTTGCATCTATCCATTGCATTACAATTAAATCATTAGGCGTCCGCGCCTTACATGCACGGCCATTATCGTGACCGATTTGAAGACTCTCAATTAAAGAGTATTTCAGTGAAGTAAAGACAATTTAAACTATGTCATCAGGCCAACAAATTTCTGACAAGTGTTCAGCTCTATCGAGGATTTATCAAAAATATCAAATATTTAAAACATTATTAACTTTTATTGATTTACAACTCAAATAATTGGAGTCCTAAGAAAGCAACCATGGAGAAAATGGACACACTCCATCGTAGACACCTCAGGTCCATTTTAAACATCAAATGGCCTAAAGGTATGATAAGCAACAAAGCATTGTATGAAAGGTGCAAAGTTGAAAAGTTATCCAAGCGTATTGAACACCAGCGGTGGAAGATGTTTGGACACATTCTCAGGAGTATGGAGAACACCCCAGCCCAAACGGCTCTCGAATTTGCTATTGAAATGCATCCAAAAGTACAAATGAATTACACACAAACACACGTTGCCCCGATTTGACTGCTTCACAAGCCAAAACCTGAAAAATTTTTAAACAAGTGAGGGGCTAGAATGAAGAAAATGTTATACTTCAAAAAATCTTTTCAAATTTTAAAGAATAATTGATCACACATATATAGTACATGTATAATTGGAACACTTGTCCCAAGACAGTTAACCTTAAAGATTGTGCAGCTTTACCCTCATTGTAAATAATGGGAGGGTAAATCTTTACCCTCATTGTAAATAATGGGAGGGTAAATCTTTACCCTCATTGTAAATAATGGGAGGGTAAATCTTTACCCTCATTGTAAATAATGGGAGGGTAAATCTTTACCCTCATTGTAAATAATGGGAGGGTAAATCTTTACCCTCATTGTAAATAATGGGAGGGTAAATCTTTACCCTCATTGTAAATAATGGGAGGGTAAATCTTTACCCTCATTGTAAATAATGGGAAGTGATAACTGATATGCCGATATGGCCATTGTGTAGTCATTGACTTATAGTAATAGCATATTATCAATCCATTAAAGGGATTAAAAATTGGATCAATGTCTTTGACGACCATATTATTAAGGGCAAGTTCTACACTTCCTCTCTACTCTAGTACTCTGTTTCAAACCAATCAGAAGATTCTTGAAAGCTTTCTATTCTTCAAGACTTCTAATTTCATATCAATACAGCACTAATTTCATATCAATACAGCACTAATTTCAGTTCAGTACAGCAGTACATTAAAGAAAGCTCAGACGTAGCAAATGCTATAGTAATAGTAGTAATAGCTTGATTACCTGAGTGTCTATTTGCTATAGTAATAGTAGTAA